ATCTGATGTCTCCAGGGGTCCTAAAGAGATCACACAGCTGACTCGGGAAGGGAAGGAGCTGGTTGTAAGTGTGGAGTGCAGAAGAGGCAAGAGACAGCAGAAAAGTGAGGGTCACCTTGCTCAGAGGCACTACGTGCTGGTCACTGGTGGAGGCAGGAGGGATGCTAGATGTATGACAGACATGAAGATGTTTATCAAGCCAATGATATTTTTAGTGATGCCAATGCCTGATGATGTATAAGTTTCAGCTGATCCCAGATATTTGTCTCTGTGTTGGTTAGGAAATTGCATGAAGTGGTTCGTGTGTGCTTCTACCTTGCCTATAGAAGACACCTACTGAGTTAGGGGCTGATCATGGATGGCATTGGAATAGACTTTTTTCTGGTTTTCAGCAAACACCAACTCCAATCTGAAACTCATTTCTGTCCCTGATACCAATGTAATATTTTATTGCGTCTCTAGACGTACCCAGTGGCGACTTTTTCCTGCTTCGAACTATAAACACAGCAAGTTGTCTGTGTGGACACTTTCACCACCGTGCTGGTCTGTCACTTGAGGGTCCCAACAGCAGCTTATGCACTGACTAGTAGAAGAAAAAGTGCATGTGTTCCTTGTACATGTGTAACTGATAATGCTCAGCAAGAGACACATGCAATGGTAGTCAGCACCCAAAAATGTGTTTACTCTCACAGACTTGTGCTGTGTTTATTGCCATTACCTCCTTCATCCTACTCTGCTCATTTTGTACATTCCTGATTAGCATTCTTTTTTTTCTACTACTGTTCTCCTTTACACAGATCTGCTTTTGACTAAAGTAAGAATTCTCATACAAAGTCCTAGCCATCTGAGGCCATCTAGTGCTATAGCCTGTGTCTGTACATGGCCAAGGGTAGATGATTAGGAAAACTGAGCAGGCTAAGGACGGTATGAAATGGTCCCTGCTTCCATATATCTTCCCAAGTCTCAGAGCCTTCCTGAATTAGGTGTTTTAACTACCATACTGTGCATTTGACAGCTAATCCAATCTGAATAGATGTACTGAATCCCTTTTTGAATGTCTAGACATTAGTGGTTTCCTATGACATTCAATAAGAAGTCTTAAGAGTTCTCTAATAAGGTACTGCTAGAAAAGCATAGCTAGGAAAGGCTGTGGGGGCAGGTGCTTTTGATTCTGCCAATACAGAGAATATGTTCATTGATAGTGTGTGCATTTGGAGGCTCTCCTATCATTTACATCTTTCATGTAACTCTTCTGTTAGACTCTATATGCGTGTAAGAACTCATCAAGGGACTTGCCCCAGCCTAGCCATGAGAGAATCGCATAGTAATGCCATAAGACTTCTCAAGCCAGATGAGAGGGGAATGCTGAGGTCATGGGGATGATGGGAAGAACCAGCAGGGACTATCCAAAGCAGAGATGGAGTGCATAACTTAGAACTCACAACTGGGTGCAGAAAGGTGGCTTTGATTTCACACAGTGCATCCAAAGTAGGATGGTAAAACAGAAGAGGTAGTAAGTCGGTCCCACAACCCTCAGCAACAGAGCCACGTGAGATTAGTGCAGAGCTAATACACTGCATGGTACCATCTAGACATGTCCTTGCAGCCTATAAATGACATTTGCTCATCACACATTTATGCTTGGAGAAAAATAAAGGGCTCTACTTCATACTTCAGTACTTTTTTTTTTTCTTCAGAACAACAACTACACACAGAATTTAATGGCAAATATTAAAGAAAAAACTTTTGGTCCAAAAGCTTTTAGTATGATGGTCTGTATTTCTTAAGTGTTTACATGGATTTCATGCAGTAATACTTGAGTACTTTGGTGTTCTCAATAGCTGTATTTCTATCAAAATTTTCTAGCTTCTTTCCAAGTCTGTCAGAAAAGCTTCATTACTTCCTAGGAGTAGGGTTATTTGTAATGTTTATGCCAAATTTTTTGAAACTCAAAAAAAAAAAAAAAAAAAATCCAGCTTCTAGGATTTAAGGTTTAGAGTAGAACAGAAGAAATAATGGTAATAAATTTGCTTGAAGTTGTCACGGTGGTAATAATAACAACATTTCTATAAAGCTTGGATTGAACAGAATCCAACAGAAAAACTGATGAAAATCTACCATACAAAAATTGACTGCTTCCTCCCACTCCTCCTCACAGTTCCTCAGAGCATCACTGTATTTATATTATGAATGTCTATGGTGTGGAGTAATTGAAACTAAGTCAGGTTTTAATAAAACAAGGTATTGTGTGATTTCTGTGGGGCTGAAGTTCAAGCTAACAGTCTTGAATATGTAACACCAAATATAGATTTTACTTAAGTTAATACCACAGGGACATTTTTTTAGCTTTCTTTCTTTCTCTGCTCTACAAGAGAAGAATTCATATCTCATCACCTCTAAGAAAGTCAGTTATTCCAGAAGAGTGAGAGATTACAACATTCCAAGCATTGCAAATAGGGGTACTTATTTTAAACAATAGCATTCAACCTTCTATATTGCTTCTCTAGCTCTTTCAGCACGGACCTGTGTGCAGGGTAGATTCTCAGCTGCAAAGCGTCCAGATCCTTATTTACGTGCATGTGAATATTTAAGGTTAACAAGAATACATTCCCTGTGGGAGAAACAGTCAGAGCCGTTCAGACCACATTGCTTTTTCCTTCCTTCCCATAGAGGAGGCTGTTGAAAATGTGTCTGATTAAACTGCAGGTTCCTATTCTACTCACGTGAATAAATTTAATGTTTCTAACTGGAATTAGGTGAAGTATCTCTCCCCATGATGGGATGGGCAACAGGCAGGACAAATGAGATTAAATATCTGCTCTAAATTGAGAAGAGAGAGAATAAATTTAACTCTTTCCATCCCCATAATTGTTGCTCTTTCTGTCCTGTATGGTGCATGGGTTTGGATTTTTGTTTTACAAGCAGCCCAAGATCAATGACGCAAGCAGGTGTCCCAGATCACATCTGGACTGGAGAGAGTGGAAGAGAAAGTCCATGGCTTGTGTTTCAAGCAGGTTGCCTTCTTAGTTAGAGGTAGGGGCCTGTCTATCACCAGTTTTGCTGAATTAGATTAGAAACCTGCGTACAACTTTTGCATGACCTCTTTATTTCATCTCTGATGGCCTTATGCAGGCATTTGGCTGGTTCTGGGTGTATCCTTCTTACACAGATCCCATACATTGCCTGGAAGGACCAGGACCTACTCAGACCCAGGGACTGCATATTGGCTAGGATGCACTGCAACAGCAATGAAGTATTTATTCTGTCTCTGAGCTGGGCAGCTGGAAAGCCCAGCCCGGGTGCAATTTGTGAGGCAGTTTCATTTTGCATCTAAGTGTATCTAGATATGAGTACAGCTAAGCAATTTGCTTGGCCTCGCCCCTATTAATAACAAGACCTTGTATTAAAAGAGGATACACAACCACATCACCAGCCGGAATATTGTTGAATGCAGCCCGTCAGTATGGTCACACATTCCTCTTCCTGTGCATCAAGCTGGTCATTAACTTGTGCTTCCCGATGCACGGACCCTTCTTCATGGCAGCCGGCACTCACGGAAGCATGGGAAGGTAGGGATCGTACAGCAGGGAGCCCTTGGAGTGGCAGTGTTGAATGCGACCAGGAAGGATGTGCTCAGTGCTGCAAAACCAGTGGGGCTGAGACGTGATTGGCTAGGGTGTGGACTGAGAACTTGTCAGGATGACACTTGTGCATACCCCAGCTGCTTCTTTCTCCCCTGTGCATACTGGTTTCCACATCAAGCAAACAGGGGATGCCTTAGGCAGGACCTGCAATGCCCCCCAGCAGGCGCCCGTTGCAGTCCGTGATGTGCCAGGGCTCTGGGGCACGCCATCGCCTGCAAGGGTCACAGCCAGAAACTGCTCCCACTCACCCTGGGTCGGCTTCTCCAAAATGCAGATGAACTTGCCGCGGGTGTAGAGACTTCAGAGCTGGCCCTGCGCATTCTGAGCTAAGGCTTGGCAGAGCTGGTGCTAAAAAAAGGCTGATAGGTGCTGGTGACTGCATGCAGTCATTACCCCTGTACCCCGCTCTCCAGCACACCACTCGGCACCCACTGCTGTCTGGCAATTCATTATCCAGTGTGTCCCAACAGCCCCAGGTAAAGACATCGATTCAGTGCTGCTATGTTGATTCAGCTCCCAAGCAGCTGGCTGAGGTAAAAAATAGGTTAAGCAGTTAGACATTGACCATTCTCGAATTAGACCAGGATCCTGTCACTTTTTAACCTTTCCTTTGATAAGATAGCTGAAGCACAGTTTTAAAATTTACTGCAGCGTAGAATTTCAGCCCTGAAATCTTTCTTATGTTTATTCCCTAAATTCTTTTTTATTCTTCCCCCAGAACATCCAGGATGAATACAAGGTTCTGTGACTCATCCCATTCATGCTTCACGCGGAGGTAATGCTTCCACTTTGCTTCTCTGTTTTATTGACCTGTTTACATAGCCAAGGGTGGCACTGCAGGCTGATATTCAATTGGTGATATTCTGATTTCCTGGGATTCATGAAATATGACTGATTCTATGAGTTAAACATTGAAGAGATGCCATCAGTTTTTAAAAGTCACATTTCTACTTGGCCCTTTCTAATAATCACTGTTACAAGCAAGATTACTGGGATCACCATAATGATAAAAATAAGGGGGAGAAGTGTTTTGCCTTGGACTGGGGTTTTGGAAAATTTTTGTTTGTTTTGCACTGCACAACATTAATGCATTTGTATATGGTCAGTGCCTCTTCTTGCTGTTTATAAGCAGTTTCTTTCCAGAAAATAGACAGATCTAGGCCTGCTTAACAGCAGAAGCACGTCACAGATGGGAATGTGGGGGCAGTAGCTGAAAAGCAGAAGCAGCGATAGGGTCAAGGACTGAACCTTGGGCCCTCCCATTTCTGATACTGCCGTTCTGTGCTTCCCATTTCATCGTCTCCTTCTCAGAAGAAACTACTGAACTTGGAAGGAAGGCTCCACGTTTGCATAGTCATGGCACTCCTTTCTTCTCTAACCCCAGTCTTTATAGCCATTATATGTGTTTTGATTGGGGTAATATTGAAGAAGACTAACAGAGAGAAGGAAAAACATGAGACTAAAAGCAAGCCCCTGTCTCGCCCATGGGTGGATGAAGATTTAAAAACTGGTACTGACCACCACTTGGAGGAAGAAGGTAAGAAAAATCTCCATCTGAGCAATTCTGTTGTTTGAATTGGGTCTGCTGATACGAATAAAGGAGATGCGGTCTCCTCCACTTCTCTGTGGTGATGGAAGTGCATAGTGCTACACTGCTGCCGTGCCCTGAGCTTGCCAGCTCACTGGAAGGAGTCTATCCTGATGTCATGTCACTCTTGGTGTAAATCCCTATTTCCTCCAGATGCCACAGATCAGAGTGCAAAAAGAAAAGGCATTTTCAAAGACCCTTGTCTGTTCCTCTGTACAGCAGATCCCAGACCGCCCCCCATCCCCTTTCCAGCCCTTCTTGATGCGAGCAAAGGGAAGACCCGAGCAGAGATCTTCTATCTGCAGGTTGATTTTGTAGGCTTCTCATTCCACTTTACCATCCAGTGCTACATATTTGATCTCAGCACCCGTAGAAAAGCTAGAAATGGTTTTATTACAGTTCTTGCAAAAATCCTCCATTTGTGACTTCTGTGAATGTCCATGACAGCTTTAGCTGGATTAGCACTGGGATCGTAGTATTTGGGAGATATGTTGATCAAATATTTAATAACAAGATTTAGTGATGGTGCAAATCTCTGTTCACTTAATTACATATTAGAACCGACACAGAATGCCCTCTCTTTTTGCAGCAGTGATTTCTGCAGCACAGCTTGGGCAAAAGTCCGAGCACAAAATGTAACTTTCCTTCTTTTTGCTTCCTGACTACCCTCCATAAGCTCCCTTCATTTCCTTGTGAAATAAAAATCTACAGAGTTTTCTTCCTATGAGGTTTTTAAACTTGCAGTTAACACAACTTTTTTTTTTTTTTTTTAGTCAAGCAGGTTTCAAAGGTTTTTTGTGTGCTTTTGTCCCATAGTGACACATTCCTCAAGTCTGCTTCCAGGAATCTTGAAACTTACATTGTTTTTCTGCACACATACCTTTTCTAAGAACCATTATTTCTCTTAATTTCTCAGTGTTCAGTGTACTTTGGGTTAGTGTTGTGTATCAGTTTCCAGAAATAGTTGATACTTGGAACCTTTTAAACCACATTGACTATTTCCCAAATATACAAAATTTCTTTGAAAGTTACTTCATATGTTGTACCCTCCTTTGTACAATGCAAAATAGATTCTGTATAAAATTATGCCAGATTTCCTTTTTCACTAATGGCTTACTAGTTCAGTTAAATGGCTTCAGATTAAAATTCCTGTGGGTAGTTCAAGTGATAACCCATGAATTATCAATGACATCTTTGCTAAAGTTGTTTCTATCCATTTAAAAATTGAGATCCTCTAAATAAACAAACCTATTAGCTCTTAACAAGGAGCCTTGCTGCCACAGCTCCGTATATAAAATGTTGCATTTTTATGTCTTAGTTGTTTTCCCTATTATTCAGGTGCTAAATTCAAAACTGTACTGATTTTAAATTAATTATGAATAATTGGCAGGTACATAGACATGTTTGTGCTGTTGGTAAAAGGAGATATAATAATAATCACTTTCCCCTTAATGCTGTGTGGTTCAAAACCAACATCTTTCCAAAACAGGCATGTCTTATCATCTCCAGAAAAAATAAAATAGTTACAGCATGCTGGGCGAAGTTTTTCTTCAGCAGGGGAAAGCCCAGCCTAAGCAAGAAGAGAATATGGCTACCTTGGTAAGGAACTGCTACTTTGTTAATGTTGTAATTAAGGATCAAAATGTATTCACCTTGTTGTCAGTGTTAAAATTGTCACCTACTGCACTAGATGCTGAAAGCTGAAATGGAAACATGGATGTAAACAGAGATTTTCTTAACAGTAGAGAATATTTTACCTGCTGTGCAAATTCTAGCACTTTACCAATGTATCTTACTTTATCAGAAAAGCTATTTTCTACTTAAATATCTCAATCATCTGGCTTGTGTTTGAAGACAAAATTGCTCTGAGGAGAACTTGAGTTATTTGAGTTGAAGCATTTTTAAGGCCTTATCTGAAGCTAGAATCTAGGAGTCCTGTAGGTGAACAAGCTAGAATTTTGAAGAGCCCCCTGACGAGGCTGCAGACCAAGTCCTTCAATACGCGTCCATGACCAAAGCGAGAGCGCTTTGCCAAGACAGTGAAGTGCTCTGTAAGAAAACCACTGAACCTACTCAGGCATCGTCAGCCCCGTGAGCCTTCCTTTAAGTGGCACTGCTGGGGACATTTCCCCAGAGAGAGGCACACCTTTGAGCTTCAAGGCATTCGGTGTAATTACCTGAAACTCTTGGGCTGACTCAGTAGGGTCACTTAATGGCAGTGAAGGGCAGAAGAGGGAGGGCCAAGTGCTCCCGAGCTTGTCTGTGTTGTGCTTTCGGCAGCTGAAGAGAAGGATTTTTCCCAGAGCTGCCAGAAAACCAGTTGTTTGGTGAAGTGCAAAGCATTCACTTGGTCCATTTGTTTAATGCCTTATCTGGCAGTACTTCAGATTTGTTTGCATAACTAACTGTCCTATAACTTTTTCCTTCATTTTTGAGATCCAGAATGAGAGATTGTTGTACTGTGGGTTGCTAAGAGTGGTCTGTGTATGTGTGTATCTGGCTATGTGTGATTACCACTTAGATACAGGCAAAAAAGGTGTTACTTCGGCATTGTCTTGAGCGATGAGTCACAAGGGCTCTCTGCTTGGACATCTGATCCCAGAAGGGTGGTACCTAGTCTCCCACCGCTTCAGGTTTACACAGTTAGATCTTGCAAAGACAATTTCTGGCATATGATTCAGTCTTTAGCCGAAGGAACCTAGTGTACATTGGTACTGAAATTCTGTCCTTCCCCAGTTAGTTACTACAATACACCTGCTAGGCTCAAACTGAGAACAAACGTAAGTCACTTTCATATATTCAGATTAATACAACTGATAGATAAGGTAAATGCAGACCCAGCTTACAGTGGCGCGGAGGATGAGAATGAATTTTGTTTGTATCCTTGCTACCCTGGGGATCAGTTGCATAGAATATTAGCAAAGCTATTTTATTACTACATACTTAATTGAGGGGGCTTTGCTTGGTGGTGTACTCTACTTAAGGACTTAAAGCAATGTGCAAAGGCCCAAATGTTCCATCTCTTTTGAAAATGCAGTGGTCATTGCTTGTGATACTTCTTATAATAGATCTCTCCCAGTTAGAAGTATTTCTCCTCTCCTCAAGTTCAAAGGCTTCCCATACCTTTCGATACTACTACTGACGTGAATGAGGCAGTAGCAGTTTAATTTTCCAATTCAATGACAGTTCACGCTTTGCGTCATTTAGGAACGTAGGACTTGCATGGACATGCCTGCATCATTGTGTTTATCTCCCTGCTGCTGCAGACACCTCCAGCCTTTGTCATCAGCTGAATGAACTTGACAACTGGCCTTTTTTGACCCTGTTTCTTTAGCCATGCTGGAAGGCTGTTCCAGAACTTCATGCTGTGGATTAAAAGCCTCTTCTGCCTGCCTGCTCAAACTTATTTAATACTAGGCCATAGCCATTTTTCCTGTTCCATACTCTTGTTAGTTTAAAAGCATACTTTACCAGTCCTCCTGTGGTTTATAGACAGTGACCAGATTAACTCTCAGCTTTCCTTTTACTAGGTAAACCAGTAAATCTTCTCTTTATAAAACAGTGACTCCGTTCCTCTGAAGATCTTAAGAAACCTTCTGCAACTATATTCCAATTCGAGTTAGTTGTCACAGTATTTTGATGCTGGCTTTTTTCTTCCAGGGTCTGCATCTTCCACTTGATACTTATTTTGCTTAAGATCTCTGACCATCTCTTGGGGTTTCCAGGATCATCCTGATAACCACTACTTATAACCAATTAGTAAGACACCCTGTCTCTTTTAGTTCCCTATTAGCCATACAGTCAGTTCAGGACTGGATTCACTACTGGGATTCGTGTAGTGGCAGGTTATGTAGCAGTCTGCCATTAATCAAGAAAAAAACCACAGGGTCAGTTGTCCAGCATTTCGAGTCCAAGTACCTGAAGTGCTCTAGTCACACTGTCCAAGTTGCAGAAGGCAAAGGTGGTGACAGATAGAATGAAGAACCGCCCACTGTAGGAGAAGACCAGGTCTGAGACTGCCTAAGGAACCCGAAGGTGCACAAGTCCATGGGGCCGGATGAGATGCATCTGCGAGTCCTGAGGGAAGTGGCGGATGAAGTTGCCAAGCCACTCTCCATCATATTTGAGAGGACATGGCGGGTCGGGGGGGAGCCCCAC